TCACTGAATTAATGGACTCCTGGTTCTTTTATTAGCAGCTCTCTAACAATAGAAAGAGAGAAATGTTATAAAAAAGACTCTCAGACAACTGTCCACTCTTTTGTCCGGGGCTTATTGGAATGACGCAAGTCTATTCAGGAAAAGATTATAAAAATCAACTCAAAGCTGCCTCTGTTTGTGGCTGCTAAATATACCTTTATTTCATAAAGATACAACCTATAAAACAAGCAAATGAAAGCTCTCTCTGAAACAGTGGTTGTGAGGCAGTGACCACGGGGAATCAGGGCTGTAACTCCCCTGATGGGGATTGTTCCCCATTCACCATCCCGTGGGGTTGTGGGGCATCATCAGCCTCCAGCTCTGGGAGATCCTCAGCCAGGAGGAAAATTGTTTTAAAGCTCTGGGGGTTGATTCTTCAATACACGGGAAGGTGAAGAAACACCGCTGAAATTCGGGGGCTTAAATCTTCACTAACAGATTCGGAACCCCTCTCACCAGCCAGAGAAAATAAACATATTCCTGATCCAGGCTAACTGCAGGACTGCACGTGTGCTTTGTGCTGCAGAGCAGGGCCCTCTGCAGAGCCCGAGTTCAAATCTGGGATTCGATCTCTGGGCGGGTGGACAGCAGTGCTGACAGCCCCAGCTCAGGCCCGAGGGGGTCTGGCCTGGCCAGTAATTGCTGCACAAAAGACAGTTAACAGTTCCCTTGCTCTTCCCTAACTACCTTCCTGACTGCTTATTGAAGTCTGATTTCTTACTCCTCTGGGTCATCATTCATCAGTCCTACAGATCCCGCCGGGAGAGCCCGGCCAGACCTTTCCACATCCCTCGTTGCCAGAGGCCATTTCTGACGGGCCCGTGATATAGAAAATGTCTTCACAGCGCTCCGGCGGGGCAAGCCGCGCTCATAATACCCAAATAATCATTTGGCAAATTATCATAATTATCAATCAATCATCTCGCGCGAACAATGTGTTCCTGAAGTATCAGATGGTTCCTGTGACCTGTAGCGTTTTGGATATAATAACAAACCCGGGGAGATTTATGGCCCCATCCCCGTTTCGCATCTGCAGCGGCAAAACAGTCGCCGGCTTTTACTTTTGTTTCAGGACTAAAAGCTTTCCACGTACCTGAGGTGTTTTGGTTTTTTTTTTGTTTACTACTCGGTGCTCTGCGAGAGGTCGAAATTTCTCATCTCGCCCAGTTTTCTAACGGTAACTTTATTTTTAAAAGCATCCGTGTGATTTGTGAGCACGGGATAAATGTGCTGCATAAATTACTTTTACTTTACAGCCTCATCAGCCTCACGCTCCCAGCTTCCAGTATTTTGCAATGCCGGAATGAAGGCAGCCAAAGTAGGGGGGGAAAATTGGTTTTGTCTTCAGTTTTTGTTGTGTTTTGCACAATACCAGATTGAATCCAACCCTTTTGAAGCCGATAGCATCTCCCGCTCCCTGTGCAGCACATTCTTGTTAATGGATAAATTCAAGCTCTCCAGAAAGTCAAAGAATAAATTTAAAGCCTTTTGCCAAATGCCTATCCTATTGGATTTTGATAAGATGGCTATTGAGCTTTAATAATGTCTTCTATCCTTTTTCAGCTGGCCCTTAACATGTCTCTTTATTTGTCCCTAAAGCCTCTTCAGCAATGCCTTTTTATTACAAGTCTCTCAGCTTGCTCTCAAGGGAGACAGGGTCGACAAGAGTGATAGATAGATAACTCTATAGATTATCTCCCACAGATGTTTTCTCTCCAGTAGCCCCTCAGGCTATTCCCTCTAAGTAAACAGAAACTAAATAGAGAGTCTACTGAAGAGAGAAGTCCCTGAGGTCCCTTGTCACCACGGTCAGAAAAACAGCCTGTCCAGAGGAGCCTGGCTGGGAGCTCTGTGCACACACAGATCCTTCCCCAGCCTTCTCCAACCCTCAGCCAAAGTGACTCTTAGAGGAGAGACAAACACACCCACTGAAAACCTGGGATGTGTGAGGGACACCGGCCTCCTTCCTGCCAGAGGAAGTCGGAATCTTTCAGCTCCAAGTTAAAGCCAAAGTGACAACGATGCTGAAAACAACGACAACGAGCTGCTGTTCCCATTCATTAAACACAGCGGAGGAGCTCAGAAAATTCAGAGGGAGAGAGCACAGGAGCTGCTCTCTGAGCAAAATAAACAGACTGCAGGGACATGGGTTGGGAAAAAGGCGTTTGGGACCAGGGGACGATACACCCAAAGGTATAACTCCTGTTTTGGGCACAGCTCTGAGTGCCTGCATTCAGGGCAATGAAATAAGTGAATTTCCTATTTTCGTATTGGTTTCACAATTGATTATTTAAAGCTAAACAATCAGGGTGAGGAGCTCGTGTATATTTGTCCAAGTTAAACTAAATATCAGCAAGCACGGATGACACAAGGAGAGAACTCATCAGGAGTACAGCACACTTCAGTCCATGGCACAGCACAGATACAGAAAATGAACCTGGGTACGGGTCCTTTGATAATATTGAAATCTTAATTCCTGTCAGACAACCACTAACAAAGAAATCAGCTTTGTGGTGTTAGTGGTCCCAGCAGAAATAACAGGAATACAAACTGAAAAATACCAGATATAGTGGGAAAATACTTATTTTTTTTTTGCTCCAAGCCAAAAATGAGCCATATAACAATCTCTGCTATGCTACATCTTCAGACTTCTCACTGCCTTTCAGTTCATGAATAGTTATGTAAAAGAGCTTCCCCCCCCCCCAGCAGGTTAACAGCAGAGATAATTCTGGATCAGTTTTTAAGCAGAGATTCCTTCCTGCACATCCTCCCTACCCCTCTCACTGCCATCCCCTTCCCTTCCCTGCCTTCTCCTGGTTTTACAGATTTTTTTCCCTGCATTCCAGATTTTTATTTCTCTTTCTAGTCCTTGTCAGTGCCCAATTCTGAACCTGTGATACAGTAAAGGAGCCACTGCAATGATGGTCTCTGCAGCTCCAGTTTAAATCAGCCCACCCACCACAGTCACATTTGTCTTCAGTCACCTTCTCGCCACCAACTTATCTCTGAAGGAACAGGAATAAATTGAAGTCAAATCTCAACTATTGTGTCTTCAGGGGTATGACAGCTGAGTGATTCAGAGAGGCTGGGAGAGGGAATCTGCTCCCGGGAGGGTTTTGTACCCCCGGAGCCAAACGCCAGAGTGCTCCTTCCAAACAATTTTAAGACACCACAAAAAATGTCCAGAATGATTTCTCATTCTTTATTTTTCATTTTCTTCTGACTGAAAAGCTGTCTCACAGTAGTCTTTTCACAAGCCATAAAGTTTAGACTTGAACTCTTTACCTTACTGCTCTGACCTCCTTTACCCCAGCTGTAAAACCCTATTGCCCATCCTTCAATAAATTTATCACCTCATAAACCCACTAGTGCTTCTCTACAATGCATTTAAAAGACACAAGTGGAAGGCCAGTCCTTCCCCCCTTGTCAAATATCATAATTGTCCAGTTTTATATCTGTAGTACAGGAAATATTTAGGGACATGGTATTTTACAAAGACCTGTAGTTTTTGCCACAGTCTCCCTCGAAATAGAAGGAATGAAGTTTAAATACAAACCCAAGGATTGAACATATAAAGGTGCCAGTCTCCTGTTTCCTTCTACCCTGTTTCACACAACTCCTGCTCTATTTAGGGCACGTTCTGGAGGTGGGGATGGAGAATTCATCTGTGATACTGGAATTAAAGGCTGCACAAGAACCAGCGGAGCTTTCACTCCACCCTCGTGAGAAGTGCGTTTGATAATAAGAACCTGCCACCTTGTCACCACGTCTGTCCAGACAAAAGGATCCCACAGAGGCAGAGACAGACACCCCGTGAGTTATGGAGATGCCCAAGGTAAAAAGTTCAGCTCTGCTGCCACAGGTCCCTCCTGAGGTCACTGCGTGGTCAGAGGATGTTCCCCGTTGGGAGCCCGGCTGGTGAAAATAAAACCTGCTTTTTCTGTACGTGGTAAGAATAGAACAGTCCACACTGGACATGCATCTAAATACCTTTTCCCAACCTAACTTTGGAGCCTGACAAGTATTACATTTCACTTTGTTTGCCAGAGTGAAACAGGAGTTTGCTTTCAGCTTCCCGAGTCAAGGAGCAGCAGCGACGCTGCAGGAACAGCAGTGGCAGCTGTGGCAAGTTCCAATCTCAAATATTTCCCACTTCCAAAAACTTTACAAACAGGACTGTGAATATCCTTCATAAGACAACTGCATAGGAAAGGAACCACAAACAACTCCCTATTTAAATGAGGACACACCAGCTCCAGCATCCAAGAGGCTCTAATCAAATACAACTTGTAACACTTTAATTAGTGAAGCCATTAACCAACAGATAGACACAGGAAAAAAAATCTCATTTTAGTGCTTCTGAGAATAACTCCAACCAGAATAGTAGCCTGGCTACCAAAATATGTCATGCTGAGGCTGCCTCAGAGCTCCAATGAAGACATTTATACAGCTGGGCTGACTGAGGAACACATTTTCTCTGGTCAGTGTTAGAGTATAAGCACCACAATGTGATGAAAAGCACCAGTAACACATCACATGAGTCAAATTTTACCCTTTCACATGTCTACTCCTTTTCCCTTGGACTTCACATAAGCCACATTTACATGGTGAAGTGACCTCCAAAAATTTAGCACTTTTAACAAAGGACCAACATTTTCTTTTACTGGAAAAGAGGTAAATGAGGTTTTCTGATTTGGGCCAGCAGCTGTTTATGTTGTAGCAGAGTCAAGGAACACCTCAAACTATTATTTTCTCTTTCATAATAACTGGAATCACAAAAAGACAGCAGAATATGCCAATAGAACCACAACACTTAATCCAAAACAGCAACAGCAAATACTGGAAAACTTTTATGACATTATTGCGACAGACACACTTTGGGACAAATGTGAGAAAATGGTCCAGATCTGTTTCAGAGCCAGGGAGTAAAACATTTCACATAAGATTGAGCCACATCCTACCTTTTTTATATTGCCCTCTTGGGAGGTCACCTCAGGATCAGTCAGTACTTGCTGGGGAAAAACAGAACAGAAACAAAAGAGAGTTGAGTCACAACTAAGAATGTTACAAGATAATAGGGATGATTGCTGTGGTTGTGATGATGATGATTATAATAATGATGAAGATAATAATAATAACATTATCAATTATATTTATTATCAATATATATCAGTGTTATATGCTATATATCGATACAGTAGTTATATTATATATCAATATAATAGATGTATAAATTATCAATAATAATGCAATAACAGCAACAACAACAACAATAAATTATTAATAGTATTTAAAAAGAATAACGGCCAAAACTCTCAACTGCAGAAGAGTAACCCAGCCATTCTGGGAGCTGGATGGAGGGCTGATACCAGAACTATTATAGAATCATGGAGTCAGAATGTATCGAGGTGGAAGGGACCCGTCAGGATCAATATTTGAAGGTTTCTGTAGCTTCTCTAAATAGTTCCCTTACATTTGGCTGGCACGTGCTCCTTCCCCAGCTGGCAGGGCTGTGACCATGGGCACTAAGGGAATGGGGGCCCTGGAGCAGGAACAGCCCCGGGATGCTCCGACCCCTCCCAGCGCTCCCGGCGGCTGCTCAGGGAGCTCCTTAATTCCCCCTCCAGCAGAGGTGTGGGGGAACAAGTCATTAAATCGCTGCTGTGCTCCACCTCAGATTAGCTCCAGGTCAGCAGGCTTTCGGGGAGGTCAAGTACCTCAACTTTCCATCACCCTGGATACCCCAGCAGGGTAAACACGCCGGGAAGGGACCGCAGAGAGCGGCCGAGGATTGGAGCAGCTCCCGGGGCTCAGGGGCTGGGATGGCCGAGGGTAAACACAAGGAAAGGAGAAAGGAGCAAGGGAAGGGAAGGGAAAGGGGCAGGAGAACGGGAAGGGACCAGAGAGAAAAGCAAAAGAAAGGAAGAACCCTAAACCATTCTGTGCTTTCCACCAGTCCCCGCAGACACTGAAACTGCGGCTTCAAAAGTAGCTGAGAGCAAATGGGATCACGAGGTGAATCCCAGAGCCATAAAAACCTGTGTGTTCCTGTCCCTGTGCACATCCATACACTGACAACTCCCCGGGAATCACTGCAGTGAACTATCCATCCTGAACCATCCATCCTGCCCAGCCAGGAGTGTCCCCTACCTGCCCGGGAATGCTGGCTGCTCCCGAGGGCGCTCCCGGGCTCTCCCCGGGAACCAGCAACCCCAAAACCTTTGGAGAATTAGACCACGAAGCTTCCAGAGATGAAATACAGATGCTAAATGACTGGAAAGCCTCAGTGGGATGCTGCTGCCTCCAAATGAAGACACTTAAGTGCAATTATTATCTGCTAAACCCCTTTAAACAACAATTGGTTACATCTGTGCCTTCAGATGCTTAATCCACCCGTTCAACGTGACCATAAACGTGGAGGGGAAAGAAAACTCAAATGAAGTGCAAATTGGGCTGTGGTGGAGCCCTGTATAAACAGGCTTAAGAGTCAGGAATTCCTGAGTCGGGATCTGGATGCCAACACAAGCTTCCTTTTGTTGGTTTGCACAGAGCTGCGCTCAAGGGGCAAGTTCTGGTCCTCGAAGTTGTTTTTTTTTTTCTTTTTTTTCCTTTCAATTCATAGCAGATCCCAAATTTCAAAATTCTAAGAAAACACAATTCCTGTGAAAATTATTTCATACCTATTAAAAAATGGTAATTGTGCAGAAACCCTCAGTGGTTCTGATCCCACTGCTCATCTGAAATATCCAAAAGTGGCTGATTTTTGACTTTTCTTCTATTACAGAACTTCTGGGGAAACAAACCCTGATTTCATGAAGAATTTCAGCTTCAATGGAAGCCTCTCCACACTCAAACTCTCAGAACATGGACATTTAATGGTGATCACGGTGCTTGTGCTGAACTGGGTATTAAAGGTCTTTTCCAACCTTAACGATTCCATGATTCTGAGTGTGAAAAGGCCTTTTAGCAGTGGTGGGAGACTAAGAACTGGGTTTAGATTATATTTTCTGTCCTTTCTTTACACCTGATTTAAAAAAGATGTCCAAAACGAAACAGTGTGGGACTGAGCTCTGCCACAGACCATCTGCCCTGGCTGGGCCATGGCCCACAGCCTGAATGTCCTCAATGCCCCACTTCCCCAGCCAGCAGAGTTTGACACTGGGATGGGGTTGGGATTGGTGGGGTGTCTGTGTGTGTGTAGGGGCAGAGGCCAGAACCCCAAACCTGCTGCTGCCCAACAGCTGCCAGGGCTCTGACTGAGCCCCCAGAAACCTTCCTGGGGGGTGGAGGAAACCTCAGAATTCTTCTTCTGTGTTCCCAGTGTGGAATAAACAGTGTGTGACAACACCTGTGTGGTCAGACAGCAGCTCAGGAGTCACACAGGTACCCTGGCACACCCTGGGAGATCCCTCTCCATGCCCAAGGAGAAGGGGGTGATGCAATGTGGGATGTACATGGCACCTCCTCACTGAAGGGGAAAGGGAGATGGAGGGAAAAGCGAGTTCCAGATGTGATGTTTATTAATAAGAATAACAAAAGATACTTTGAAAATCTACTCATTGGGTAATTTTAGCTCAGGCTGGACTTTGTCTTGTGCGAATGCCGTGAGACTAAATATAGTGCTGGACACGTGCTGGGGGCTGCACTCCTGCACTTCACACAGATGTTCCTAAATGTACTCAGAATTTACACCACAGGCTTTTTCTATCAACTGATATGTTGATTTTAGCCAAGGGAAAGACAACATGTCAGCAGCAGCCACGTCAGAGCAGCCTGTGCTGTGGGGCTGGCCTGGAGGTGGATCTGCCCCGGCGATGGATTTCACCTCCTTCCCTTTCCTGGGTCCAGGGAACTGGTGGCAACACAATCCTGACTCAGTTACATCAGTTGGGGATGTGCTATAATTTTTGCAAAGCCCCCTGAATGTATACTAAACATGTCAAGTAACACCATGTGATTCTTTTTGAAAAACAGTTTACAAGCTGGCATTCTGCAGCTGCAGTTAACCCTAATTTGATTACATTACCGAGACAGATCACAATGAGCTTATGTAAATAGTAACGTTATCCATTCATTCCCTGAGCTCAGATAAACTGTCATTTCAGAAAAAAAAAACCTCAACCAAAACTTCAATAGGCACGGCCTGATGCATTCAGCAACCCCCGAAGGCAAAGAAGATGACGGAGTGGAACCAGCCCCTGCTGCACCTCTGAGAACCTTGATTTTAAAGAGGTGTTTACACTTCTGCTCCGAGTTGGAAAGAGAGGAGAATGCCCAGTAATTGCACAGAGGTCAATAGGCAGGTAATAGCACTTTTTCCAATAACTTGGTCTTCATTTTCATGTTAATTTTTAGTAAGAGCTCAGTACAACACCAATGGTGTCACTAAGACAAAGCTAAATGAGCACTTCAGTGCTTCAACCAGTGCCTGGGCACCTGCCCTTGACATTCACCCTTCCCAAGCCATCCTGCCCAGGTCAGCACTATGGGGACATCACTGCCAGCTCTGGAACATGGGCTGTGCCACCTGCACTGTCTCAAACCTGCCTCTTCTTCAGAGAACACCACACAGCTGGTTCATGGAAAAAACCGCCTTGGAAACACTCACTTTGCCTTAAATTAGCTGAGGGCCTCTGATTCCTACTTGCACACAAGTTCACATTAATATTTCAGATGAAATCAAGGCTGTGACCCTTCTGTGCCTACTTTGTGCTGTTAATAGTTGAGTTAATGGCAGAGTGACTCTGCCTGGCTGCAGTGCAGTGACCACACCAGTCCCTTGGAGCACTGGAGAACAACACAACGTGCAGAGCAAATGGCTCCTCCCAGCCAGCTTGTTGTGGCTCTAGAAAACATCTCAGGTCATAGAATCATAAAATCACAGAATACCCTGAGCTGGAAGGGACCCACAAAGACCATCAGAGTGCAGAACTCCTGGCCCTGCACAGGACAGCACCAAGAACCCCACCATGAGCCTGAGAGCCTCATCCAGACACTCCTCGAGCTCTGGCACTTTGTGCTGCTGAGCATCAGCCAGAGCAGCAGAGCAATCCTGCAGCTGACAGTGTCCATCCCAGCCCTGACCAGGCTGTGGTTTCTGAACAGGTAAAACCATTTGGACACAACTGTGTATCTGCACAGAGGCACCTCTCCTGTCCAGCACAGGGAGCAGCTCGGATGTTCACATCTTTCCCTGCACCTTTGTTCCACTCCAGCTCAGAAGATAATGCTGCTAGTAAGCCACAAATCTTGTTCTTCCTAATTTCCATTAGTTATCCCCTTAAAAGTTTTATCCTGCCAACTCCTGAGAGTGCTGGCCCCGGCCCATCAGGTGTTTAAGTGAGCAGCATCAGTGAAATGAGCTGAAACACAAATGTCTCCATCCATAAGTGCTCTCCTGGGCAGAGGCCGGGAGCACAAAGCACCCTGTGGGACCCAGCCCTCCAGCACAGAGCACCAAAACCCACGGCAGGTATTCCACGGGGATCCCCCTTCAGTCTGAGTGCTCTGGGCTGCAGCTCCAGGGTGTCCCTGGGAATGACCATGCCCAGGACACCCTTCAGAGACAGGGCTGGGATGGGGGGACTGCTGGGACAACTTAATCTGAATTACAACTGGCTGCTGGGACAGGAGGGCTTGGCTCTGACACACACAGAGACTCTTTATAACTCCAAATATATTATCACAGAGTCACAGAATGGGTTGGGTTGGGAGGGACCTCAGAGATCTTGTTCCAAGGACACCTCCCACTATCCCAGGTTGCTCCAAGCCCCATCCAACCTGGCCTTGGACACTTCCAGGTATCCAGGGGCAGCCACAGCTTCTCTGGGCAACCTGTGCCAGGGTCTCCCCATCCACCCAGGGAAGAATTCCCAGTGTCCCATCTGTCACTCTGAAGCCATTCCCCCCTGTCCTGTCCCTCCAGGCCCTTGTAAATAGTCTCTCTCCATCTTTCTCCTCAGCTCCCTTCAGGGACTGGAAGGCCCCAATTAGGTCACCCCAAAGCTTCTCT